GGAGACGCGCTCAGAGCGGAAGCACCAGACGCCAGGCGCCTGCTACAAGCGGGACTATGAGAGCGACCGTGAGAACCGCTCCCCCGAGCGCTGCTCCCGCGAGCATCACCGCGGGGCCGACTTCTCCAAGAGCTCCCTGCCCGAGAGGGGCCGCTTCGACAAGGTGAGGCTGTGGGTGCCGTTCCGGGCCCTGACTTATGTCCCACTCTGTGCGAAGATGAGGATCAGAATGGTCTGCGCCCTGGATGTGGGGGTTTGACGATATCTGGGGATATGGAGCTGGGAGCGAGCGGGTTCTTCCTGGCTCTGGGCACATGTGCATGCTGGTGGGGGCTGTTTGGCTCATCGTGACACCATTCTTATTTTTCAGTGCCGTATCCGGCCCTCGGCCTTCAAGGCGGTGGCTGGGAAGGGGCTGGTCTCCATGCAGGGCCTGTCTTCCTCCAAGGGGCAGAAGCTGTCCAAAAGCAACGGGAGCCTGCACACGCTGCTGTCACAGAGCAGCACAGCGGCCTCACAGCACGGCCCGCTCCGCACCCACCTGAATTGTACAAGGCCCTGGAATCCGGCTACAACTCCATCCAGAGCTTCCCTTCCTATGGCTCGCGCCTCAAGCCTGCCCAGAGCCAGTTCAGCGCCTCCATGGGCCACATCAACCACATCGGGGGTTCCTTGGACAGGGTTTCCCGGAGCCCCAGAGACCCCCTGGCCCCCGAGAAGGTGCCTCTGTCCTGCAAAAGCATGGCGACACTGAGCCGGCTGCAGAGCCCTGGGGAGCCCCCGCCGCCCTATGAGTTTACCTACTCACTGGAGGACGCGGTGAAGCAGCTGGAGGACCGGCTGCAGGAGACGGGAGGAGAGCTGCGGCAGCTCAAGAGGAGCCTTAGCGAGACCGAAGACCCCTTCACGCAGGTGAGCTGTGGGGCTGGGGCCGCCCTGCGCAGGGGTGTGGGGCAGCAGTGCCTGGGTGGAAGGGGCAGGGGAGAAGCTGGTGTCCCACCATGGTGGGCAATGGGCTGGGAACTTCCGAGTGCAGGAGGACCCAACGCTGTGGGACTTTCTGGGATCCCTCCCTGGGGCCACCCTGCAAACGGGCAGGCTGTGGAGCCTCACCTGCATCCGCCTGTGCCGGCAGGGGTTCGAGGACAAGCAGCGGCCGGGGGCGGGGGGGCGGTGGGG